CTGGTGAAAAGTGAGAAGTTGACGGGACCCACAACCTCACAACTTGTCGGCAAAGAACAAGATGGGTGTATAAGCCGAACAATGTAGTCTACTATCATCTACTAACAAAATATATACCAAATCTTGTGTCGTTGGTAAAAACAGATTCTCCTGGTGAAAAGTGAGATGTTGACGGGACCCAAACCCTCACAACGAGTCCGCAGAGGACGGGATGAGTGTTTCAGCCAAACAATGTTTTTTACTATCATCTACTAACAAAATATATCCCAAATCTTGTGTCGTTGGTGAAAACAGTTCCTCCTGGTGAAAAGTGAGATGTTGGCGGGACCCACACCATCGCAACGAGTCCGCAAAGGACGGGATGAGTTGATTACCCAAATAATGTAGTCTACTATCATCTACTAACGAAATACAACCCAAATCGTGTGTCGTTGGTGAAAACAATTCTTCCTGGTGAAAAGTGAGATGTTGGCGGGACCCACAAGATCGCAACGAGTCCGCAAAGGACGGGATGAGTTGATTACCCAAATAATGTAGTCTACTATCATCTACTAACGAAACATAACCCAAATCGCTTGTCGTTGGTAGAAACAGGTTCTCCTGGTGAAAAGTGAGATGTTGACGGGACCCACACCCTCACAACGAGTCCGCAGAGGACGGGATGAGTGTATCAGCCAAACAAGGCATTCTACTATCATCTACTAACGAAATATAACCCAAATCGTGTGTCGTTGGTGAAAAAAGTTCCTCCTGGTGAAAAGTGAGATGTTGGCGGGACCCACACCATCGCAACGAGTCTGCAAAGACCGGGATGAGTTGATTACCCAAATAATGTAGTCTACTATCATCTACTAACAAAATATAACCCAAATCATGTGTCGTTGGTGAAAACAGATTCTCTTGGTGAAAAGTGAGATGTTGACGGGACCCACACCCTCACAACGAGTCCGCAGGGGACGGGATTAGTTTATTAGCCAAACAATGTAGTCTACTATCATCTACTAACAAAATATAACCCAAATCGTGTGTCGTTGGTGAAAAAAGAATCCTCCTGTTGAAAAGTAAGATGTTGGCGGGACCCACATTATCGCAACGAGTCCGCAGAGGACGGGATGAGTTTATTAGCAAAACAATGTAGTCTACTATCATCTAACAAAATATAACCCAAATCGTGTTTCGTTGGTGAAAAAGAATCCTGGTGAAAAGTAAGATGTTGGCGGGGCCCACATCCTCGCAACGAGTACGCAGAGGACGAGAGGAGTTTATTAGCCAAACAATGTAGTCTACTATTATCTACTAACAAAAAAGAGATGTTTTATTGTGTGTTTGGTGAAATCAAAACAATATGTTGAAAAGTGGGATTTTGGCGATCACAATGGTGGTTTTATCTTAAGATAATTTGCGCAGTATCTATTTTCGGGGAAAACTGTTGTGTCTACTTTCGTCTACTAACGAATACCTTTCTTTTTTGTACATGACATTTTCCTCTTGGACCGAGATTTAAGCAATGGGTCTCGCTAACGTTTTGGGAAGTTAGCGGGACCCAAGCATGGTTTTAAAAAACGGGTTCCGCTACTGTTTGGAACCAAACTTTAGTGTCTACTTTTGTCTACTTACGATCTACAAATGACGTACAGGTTCGGTTTTTGTCGGTGGCGTTTGGGTCCCGTCTACTTTACTAAGCTCGCCCAGACTCCCAGTGTAGATGTACCTGAAAGACAAATAAAAAGTAAATTTAGTAAGAAGCAAAAGCAGAAGAGTTTTAAACTTGGAGTCCAAGCCATTAGTTTCTCTAGTAGCATTGGTAGTTTAAGCAGTTCTATTGAATAGTTTCTATTTCTTTAGCTGAATTACACATTTAGTTCTACAAGCAATCTTGTCTGTACATGCATTGATTGTGAGATGGGAAGAAAAGTACTTCACGCAACATTTGAATTGAAACTTAAAATATGTAATCACACCAACTCATGCGGCAACTTAAAATTTGAAAGGTTCAAATAAATCCATTTTTAAAATTTAGATCTGGTTTAAATTAAAATTTTTGACTTTTTGATACTTCCCAGGAGCAAGATGTGGACTATTACCTGAGCATTTCCTTCAGAATGGGTGGAGACATATTGACATTAACAGAGTTTCCAACTCCACGGTTCCATTCAGGTTTAAACATTGTTTTGAAGAAATCGCTGCGAGCAGCCAGGATGCTGCAATGGGCAGGAATCTCTTCTCCCTCGGTGCAAAGCTGTACATCTGACATTATACCAGACTCAAGGAGTGAGCCCAGACTCTTGGTTAGCAGGCTAACACCGCTCGGTGCACGTTTTGGTTCACTTGACTTTTGCATGACAATTGCTGACAGATTAATCTCAAATTTAATCTCTGTGGGATACGGGAGTGCATATTTTTTGGTAAAAAATTCATAAGGCGTATCAAGGTATCGACCAATATTCGCCAGTTTAGAGACAGAGCTATGTCGGAACATACACTCAAGGCGTCCACCCCAAGAAATTATTCTTTTTGATGATGGACTCTTCTGATCGTGAGCAGAACACAATACTTTCAATTGAAATTTGCGATACTCGTCACTTGGTTTTAAGGCTTCTAATTCTAATGTCCACGACCAGAGACCGTCAGACGAAACGAGAGAATGACTGGTGGTTGTGAGGGTGTCCTCTCTCTTTGGCAGCTGGGGTAGCGGGATGCATACTGTCACATCAACCTTAGAGGTTACTTTCTTCTCGGCCATATCTGATAAAAGGAAAAGGAAATAACATATTTTCAACAAAGTTCCGAAAGACGGGAATGGAAATAGGCGTCGAGGTGTGAGTCCAAGCGCATGTCAGCGCACTACCAACTACCATAACCTCTCAACACAACACCAGACCACACACACACTCAGGTGCGCGGGCGGGGCGGTGTTTCTTCAATGTATGAGCGAGACCTACCTCAAAGGCACAATAGGCAGTAAGGCTCAGCCTGCAAATGAGATTGAGCTGCTAGGCTGGCTCGAAACACAACAAGGAACAGGGGTGCTGCTCAGACGCACGGTCGCGCCAAACCTGATGAAGAGGTGCAACAACAAACACTTCTGGCAAACGTGCAGTGTTGCCAAATAAAGTAGGCAAATATCCCACGGATGCACAGGTGTTATGTGGGCTGCATCTTGATCTTGCTAGCGCCAGCCAGCTTGGCAACCCCTCGGCACAGGTGTAGGAATGTGGACTATAGTAGACAGGGCGTAGATCCAACCCACTACGCTCAGGTGTATTCGCGTGGGATCTTTCGCGTACCTTATCTGGCGACTCTGGTTTGTTGCCAGCTCCGCTCAGCTTATTCGCGGGAGAGGACACCCTTAGGGTATGTCACAACCCAAGTTATCCATCCTCCATGGTTCGCTTACACATCCTTAGTTATTTTTTTTCAGCTGCTGCGTCCGGTCCAGTGTCTGGTGAGGTTACCTACGGGATTCACCCGCACGACTCCCAGGTACCGTAGTGGTTGTTCCTGTACTACACTGGGTGCTGCTGGAGCCGGCGCTGTCGGGGCGGAAGGCGTGAAGGCGCCCCCGGTGAGTGACGGTAGGCAAACCCGCCCGCACGCATGCATTCTGGTTGGCGCACCCATTCGCTCCGACGGACGCTGGCCCTCCAGCTGCTCCAGCTAACTCTGCCGAAGCACGAAACTTAATGCCGTCACTTTATTGGTTGTAATCATACGTTGACCAGAGACAGACATTTTGCCAGAAGACCGATCCACGATGCGATTTACGGCCAACCCCTGGACCTGGAGCAGCGAGGCGCGGCGAGGGGTATCGCCACCGGGGCGCGGTGCTTCCCTCCTCCCTCCCTCCCCTCCGACAGATGGCGCTGCCGGTGCGGTGCGCGGCGCGGAGCGGAGGACTCGGTCGAGTCGAGGAGGAGGAGGTGGGGGTCCTCCAGGAGAGCGCCCTGCTGCCGCTCCGGCCGCAGCTTGGCGCTCTTTTAGGAGATGAAACTTTATGCGAGTTTGCGGCGAAGGCGTTGTAGCGCCGGGCGGGGCGCGAGCAGGGCGCAACAGACAGACTCACGCACAGGCACACAGATACAGAAAGACAAACAGACAGATATTCACACAGACAGACAGAGAATCTGTTTGGCTTTGTAGTCGAATCAGGCGCGTGAGCGTGGCGGCGGGGCGTCTCGTCCGGTGCGGCCCCCGGCATACCAAGCAGGGTGCACGCCTATAGGCGCGTACCTGGAGGACTCGCGGCAGGACAGCACGACACCCTCCGGGCAGCCCAGCCCAGCCCAGCAGCAGGCTTACAGTGACTGCCTGGAGCAGGCTTGGATCTAGCCCGGGACCCTCTCGGCAGCTCAGACCCGCGGGTCACAGGCAAGGACGCGCTCGCGACCCTCAGTTAGACATACAAAGTGGGAGGGAAGTGAGGGAAGCGCCTTGGAGGCGGTGGTCTGATTCCTCCCGCGCAGCCCGAGGCGCACCATACAGCCCTCCCCTCCCCTCCCCTCCCTGATTTGACATCTTGCTCCTATCTCGCCATACCGCCGTCGCTCTGTGATGCGGCGGGCCGGGCCAGGGCCTCCTGGAGCTGGCTATCTCCCCCCAAACATCACGAAGAAGGAGAGGAGGGGCAACGGGAGGGGGAGAAAACGACAGAAAAGAGGGGCAGGGGCGTAGCCAGGTAAGCGTCAGGAAAGGAGAGTCGTCGGAGAGTCGCCCCACCGCGAGGCGGGCTCGACGCGAGCAGCGACAGGGGTCTTCTGCATGGTCTCATCCTGTCGCGAACAACACTCCAGCCAGCAGAACGCCTCCGCCTCCAGCGACATCCGCGGAAGCCCGTCACGGGAGTTGTCACTGGGGCGCGCGCGCGCTAGTCGTGCGTTGTTTTCGGAAATACGACTATACACAATAAAACGAGAACAATAACGTTTCACTGGCGGCCGTGGTGGCTCGGTGCAGAGCGTGGGCGCCCGCGAGGAGTGACTCACCCTGATGAGCCTAATGAGCGGCGCGCCGCCGTGGTGAGCCTTGGTGAGCCGCGCCGCGGTCAAGTGAGCGGCGGGAGGCGGGGAGGGGGGCATAGTCTCTGCTGTACTCTACACAGCACAGCACAGTGTGTGACATACTCACAGGAGGTTCAGGACCTTAAGCGCCCTCCCCGGCCCTCCCTCCCTCCC